TCTATGCGTGTATTACGTATAAGTATTCTCGTTTATATACCTTTTACCATGATTGAACGTAACCTTGCCGTGAAAAAGCTGCACTCAAACGGTTACCGTATTTACTAGTCAAAAAGATGCTTCGATCTATTTGTAGTGTGGTGACTCCGAGAGGACTGACGAAGTCGAAATACCAAGCGCTTAAGTATGCACATTTCTAGAACATAAGAACTTAATCTCTCCAAATTCAAATTATATATGAAAAAGAGATACGATGATCTTTTAGTATACGATGATCTGTTAAAAAATTGGTCAGTGGTGTGTAGCTCCTGAGACCTTTACATCTTAATTCTTTTGAGACACTTGAAGCACAGCTCATTTAGGTACGAGGATTTATATGACATTTATCGATAATATATAAAAAACGTATGCCGATAATAAACGAATACGATATTATTACTGGTGATTTGCTACTCAGCTCTCCGGTGAATTAGATCCAAGTAATATTTTAATTATATGAGAGTAACACGCGCATAGGCATACCTTCTCCGCGAGAAAGTCGTTCGTCGTTAGCAGCTCTTCAAATGCTAACGTTGAATTAACGACTTCAACTGATAATTCGTATGTTTGAGCTGAACGTGAAAGAAGAGAAAAACGATGGGCAGAATGCATCTTATAGTATGTCATGTAGCTCTGTGAAGGGCTCGTGTAGATTTCTACATACGCTACAAGTGACATATGCCACCAAATAGGAGAAGTCTTTTAACACCTTTGCTGTAGAGCAAATCTGTAAGCACTACGAGGTATTAACGATAACATTTTTACTGAGAACAAATATCCAAGCTGGACAAACTGGATCAATTGTATGTTTTCCAGCTTCTAATAGACAGACAACAGCGTTCAGTGTTTTTGAGTCATTTTCTTTGGGCAATTGCAGTCGATGCGCAGTGTCGATCCGCCAGTCGGTGGATTGGCGAAATCCTGTCATAAAATAAAGCTTCGTTAGAACGTACGGCGGTTCTACGGTTGTTCCAATCCAATAGATATTAACCTGCGGGAAATTGAGATAATATCGCCAAACAGCGTGTAACAATATCGGAGAAAACAATTTTTTTTTCATCTTTGCCTTTTCCATTTTGCAGAAACCGGCCGTACAGATGAGCAATAGCAGGAAACACAAATACAGGTTTCCGCTGCAAAATTGAACCGAATTACCCGTCGACCTGGAGTCTGCCAGAGGCCCGATGACGGAAGGTCCGCTGCGTCCGAGTTGCCACTTCTCCACGAACTAATCTAACTCTTTCCCTGCTCGTTTTCAACCGTAAGAAACGAAATTCCTTTGTCTCCATTTGCTGGTCCAGCCTTTCCGGTAATCGCGCCTAAGCTGTCCTAGTATATCGAGACATGAGGTAAGGAAGGGAAGTTTTTGTGGTCGAGCGAACACGGCAGTATCGGTGAAATTTCGACAACTGGATAGATTTCCTCCCACGTTTATCGGGCTAGCCTTTCTAATAGGGTAAATCGTGTGAGGGTAGAATTTGATATATTTTTTTTTGACAGAATTTGACAGCTTTTTTTTTTCGATCATCGTTTAGCTGTGCAGTAAACTAGGCTTCTATGGACGGATTCTAAGGCGCTGTTCAACTTAGCTCAAGACCTATCATTTAAAAGTGAGCTACTTTAGCTCAAACATTTAGTTAAAATTGCTACATAGGAGCTAATCAATGTAAATATAGCTATAATCGACACTACTATCACTAGGACAGGGACAATATACAGTCTCAATAGGTAACGTGACATATCGTTAAATTGTATGAGACGAAAACAGCACGGTGAAATGAAAAAAAAAAACTTATTTTTTCAACGCTTCTTTTACATTAGCTTCTTTTGTAACAACGGAAGTTGCCCTTATTATCGGTATCTATAGCTTCTACCTTAGCCGTGATTGAGTACTACCTGAATCAGCTGTTAGCTTTTGCCGTTATTTAAAGAATACGTTTTCAATAATCGTCGCTAGCTTCTGAAATTTCATTCGGTCCATTTCAATTAAACTACTATATTGGGTTAGAGTCAGCGTGAGGCATATTGAGACACTTTAGCGGTAACTTGCAATCTTAACTTTCTTACATCTGGTATGTTAGCCATACGACATTACTTCAAATGCAACTTGCTTGTTTTTCTTCAAAGCGGCACGGTGGTCGCATACCATAATAATAATTTATTAACGATGAAATTTTATCTACCGCTGAGAACATTTTCACAGTTACTGCGACAACGCGCACAAGAGCTGCGCGTTGGCCGGCCACTCAGACCGTAGTACCTTTAATTATAATTGGTGATTTTTACTGTATAATAATGCGTTTCTTATAATTTAATAAGAGACAATAAGGCAACCATAGTAAAAATAATTCCAAAAATGAGAAAGCGGCAGTAAAGATCCAGTGTGTGCTTTAATTATTAGGATGTCGTGATAGGCAAAGCTGCATTTTTGATCTGCAGGATTCCAGGCCTCGATCGTATATCGCCTATTTTATAGCAACAATTAAGTATAGTTGATTAAATACTCACTTGTAGTACATGATTCTTCAAGTATAAAATTTAAGAAAAAGTAATCCACCGGTAATGCTATTTTTTTGCTTTGATAATGCTAGTTTAGCCAAATATTTTGTCTCGAAATGGTTAATATCTCATGATTAGAAAATCCTATATTTATACAAAAAAGAAAAATGCCTTTTGAAACATTTCATCAAGTTCTCCGTGAAAGTATATCACCTGCTGGTCTTTCTAAGGGTGCTTCATTTTACTAACCTTATAGTGTCTATGGAATAATGCTAAACAGAAGTACGTGTGGTTTGACATGTGAAGCCGTAAAAGACAACTACTCATCAGATGGTATAATAATATATACCTCTATGTAAATGTTTGCGCTGGTATGCACATTTACATTCTAAATATATGCAGATATACTTCAGTCATACACTCGAAAAGTTCACCATCTAAGCAGAAGTGCTGCAGACTGGCCAACCGTCACATGGTTAGCCGCACTATTTTCGAGTGGTATCTTCTCGAAGCAATTCTAGGACATCTCCTCCTTCTTCTAACGAAAAAGTGCGTCCATGGGTAAAACTGTATCCTTAGTGTTATAGGATACATTAAGTAACGAGTAACCTTCTGGCGGTCTCGTATAATGCACAATTCCAACGTATACTCGCAAGAGCGTGCCCTAAATATTGGGACCCTGCATGTTTCTTGATTTTAGCTTAAACGAAGTGCGTCAATTTTCATTCGGATAGAAATATCCAATGCACTTTTAGGTAACGTAAAGACCGTAACGAAAGTTTGCCTAACCCTATAAAGGCTGTACTTACAGAGTACTTCACAGGCTATGTCTTCTCGGTTCGACTATTTGTATAGCGGGCGGAAATGGCTAAGACCCGGCGCCGCCACAATGGCGCAGCGGTAACGTGTCTATCGAAGGTTACGTGAGATGGTCTGGGTTCAAAGCCGGGGGGTAGATACAGGGTTCGTTCCGAACCCGAATGAGCCGTCGTCAGCTCTCGAAAGCAATGGGAGATTTAGGCAGTATTGGTCGTCGAAGCTTTACCTGGTTTTATGTTTCGCTACGGAACACGAATCGAACTCGTTTACGAATCTGTTCCGCAACTTTGAGCTCATAGAATCTCAGAACGATTGTTAGCCAAACTTACAAGCTCAGATTGATTAACTATTTAAATTCAATATAATATAGGAGGATAGTAAACGTGCATGCACCAATTTACCCGATAACAGACACTTGCCGACGAATGGAGGCTGTCGGGTTCACGTTGGATCAAATCACCTCGATGTACAATACCTTTGGTCTCTGCCCTATGTAACATTACGACAGCATAATTTGGTGTGTATTTAAATAAAAAACCTATCACTTAACATGAGAAGTTAAAATCACCGGTGACGCATACGCTTGTCCGGACAGTTCCAACAAATAACATTTGCTAATACAGAATAATGGTATCATTTTGAAATTAACAGATACGGATATAATGGTTCCTCAAAGCTAAACCATATTGGCTGAGTAAACCCTCATACCAAGTGACCATTAACTACGGTTTGGACTTGGAAGTGGATTACATACTTGCATGTATGCCCACTTCATCATTGCAGCCAACTCTATACAATTACAATTAACAGGGAATAATGTGGACTCTTAGATAATATCATACTTCAGTTCTGTAATTATATTTCTTTATATCGTTTCTAATTATGGAAAAATTAGGAGCGATATAAACAAAAGAGGAAATACCATCTGAGACTGTGTTATTGCCAAAGCCGTGTGGAAAGTTTAAAAATCTCTGCGTAACTGTTAACTCTTTTAACTATTCGAACTATTTCATCCGAACGTTTTCGCTTCGATATAACTAAATTCACATCCCATTTAATACTAGACTCCTATGGCGTATGTTTGGAGAATCTAGCCTAAAAGATATCTGTTAAAATAATGCGTTGATTTAGGTGGAGTTTCCGTACCCAAGAACAACAAGCCAGTATTACACGTAACGGCGTTTCAGGCCTTTTTTCATATCACACACTCTTTTAAATATACTTTTAGCATAGACCAATCAAGGGACACACGGTAGTCATAATTAGATGTACGGAGTATGCGATATGGTATTGTGTAAGCATAGGCAATACATTCTATTCAAAGCTTTACGTTGTCTTGAGGAGTCATCTTTCCCAGTTTCTTTTTTCACCTTGCTTAAATTTAGCGAAGTGGCAGCTCGGAACTACCTGTAATAACTATATTATACAACAAAACACCACATGTGTGTGTCAATACAAATTGATTAATCAATCACCAGTACGGGTCACTCGAAAAGAGTAGACCGCTGTGAAAGTAAGAACGGCCTCGAACATGGTACTCATAAATGGCGAACCCTGGCCTCATTCAACCAGGGGCTTGACCATCCAAGCCACCATGTCGTCATACGCATGGTGCAATTGCCCGATAGACTATTGCAAAATTATAACTTTAAAAGTTTAGAGATTACTAGGTTTAAGAGCCTTAAATCTTACATAGAGACTAGAGTGCTTTCTCATTATGGGTTATAATTGATTTATTTAAGAATTTATCATACAAGTGTCTCACGTCTAAATTGTCCCACGGCTCCAACAATAGTTCGTTAAGCGCCTTTTACATGTAGGTTATATGAATCAATTTTAGTTAGCCTACGTTACTGTAAGCTTAGCTATCGATGTTCTTTGTAGGTATGAAATATCTCAAACGTACAAAAGCTCAACACGTCGACGACGAGCTTATACGAGGTGTTACCTGTGTAAATGGTCAGGGATGCCAAACTCCTCTCTGTCCTCCGGCTTTTGGCAACAGTCCGGCGCTCCCGGGCTGTTGCCAAAAGCTGTTACCACAAGTTGCCGCACCAAGGCGCCTCAGAACACCTGAGAAAGTATTACTAAAAAATGCCTTATGCTATACAGAACTACACAGATATATTTTCATTGCCACAACCTAAAACGTCATTAATCTTCTTCCCTTCAAAATCCTATATAACACGCGTCCTCTTTTTCATATTTAATCAGACATTATCACTGGCGTGTTGGAGTGCACCAGCTCACTACTAGAAAATGTATACTCAGATTCCGAATCAGTCCGAAATCCCTACTTGCGGAAGGTCTCGATGGATGTTGCCTGCAGACTATATCTATCTATATATATATAACATAGTGTTTGTTAGAAAACCACAGAAAAAAAAACCGACGCGTAGCACGATTGATACGACTGTTTTCATCAGTAGTTCTACGAGAGAAGAAAGGCCAACTTAAAAACAATTATCAAAGATGAAAGATGTTTACATGCACTAATGATAATAAATACTGGGATATACTCACATATAATTTATTATTAGCCACTAATAACGAAAAATAAAACTTACAGTTATGCAGTGGCGTGGTATAACCTATAGCTATACGTGTGGTATTGGCGCTCTAAAACTAGGACAGATGAAATTTAACAATATTATAGATGAAAGTATGATGGAATATTATATCCATTAAATCTCTAATATCGCTTAGAAGCTCTGAGGACACTCACGATAATCGCTCATGCCGTGTAGTATTTGCAGTGACTTCCTTGTGTTATATCAGTAAACGATTATACCTGAAACAAAATGCCACATGTCTGGAGTCAAAGGCATGACCGGCTGACGTACAAATGAATATGTGACACAGTAAAGCGGATTGAACTTCCGAGAGATCGACTGTCTAGTATCCTAAGAAACCCGCCCATATTTCCATGGGCTTGAAATTTAAACGGGCCTTGAAAGAAATTACAAACCAGGTAAAGGTTGTGTACAGGTCCGTCTTCGCGACTGCACTTACGATTCTAAATATTATTCAGCGAAAAATTTTACCAACGGCCAACAGCGTAAATTGAACTTAATTCCACGGCAAGTTACATTTCCTTCACTTTTAACGCGAGTGTTTCTTCGTCTTTACGTTAACTTAAACTATTTAAGTGAATTAATAAACGATATTAAAAATAAATAGTTTACTATTTATTATTACATACTTACTATTACTTCTACAATTTAGTTTTGAATTGATTTTCACATGATTTGATTTATTAAGGCTGAGCATGAATTTTACGGCATAGTTTAAGAGAATTTTGTAAAACGGAAAAGATGAGAATAGACTTTACATAAAACAAGTATGTATAAATTGCAGTCTGCTATTTCTAAATTTTAGAGTAAATTGTAGTTGGAACCTTTTCGACGTTATCCATAAAATGGCGAAGCACTAGATTTTCTAATGTGATAGTTAATCCCAAAAGTAACGGGTTTAATCTTGTAAGGTGTAAAAACTATGTTGAGTATCACACAATTTGATATAAGTACATTTTAGAGAATCAGTTGTACTTTATTTGAATAACCGAACGACATATGGCATGACCATTTTAAAGGATCGTTACTAGGACTGTTTAGTTATTAAAGGAAGTAGCTTGAAAGCGTGAGTGAAAACTTTCTTGCATTCGTCCAAAGCTACGTTTGTATTCATTTTCGATGGTTCCATATACACACTGATGAAAATATTACATTAGAGTTACCGTCATACCATGCGCTACTATTCTTGCTTCTTTTGTAAATATCCCTTGCCTATCTAAGCTTAGCCGATTTTCTGTAGAGATCTTTGAGAAAACATTGTCCAAAAACTTTTATATAAAAAGCACTTCCTTTCTAGTTCGTAGTTGTATATGTGTACCCTGTAATTATTTTTACATTTTATAAGCATTAATGAACGTATCCATTGCCTGTGTATCAAAGTTTCTTGTATTTCTCTGAACATCATGTACATACATGTTTTTGTTCATTAATGATCCCTCTCTATAGTGCGTTTCAGGCATTTGCAGGCTAAAAATTGTGACAAAAAAAACTCGCTGCTATTTTAAATGTTCCCGCCAAATAGTGGATCACATAATCACGTCTGACGCTCTTTTTGTTCTGCCGCTTTGGGTTGCTCCTTTGTCAGCGCACTAGCTGTTATAATGATTTCCGTTTTGCCTATTCGTCAGAAAATGCGTTCATTCAACTTGGGCCACGCGATATTGTTTTGGTTTGCTGCCCAGCCGCGCGTACTCGCACCATATCCCGCACTCGGTCAGAGCAGCACTACGCCAAAAGGGGTACAGGGGAATACCATAAATCGGAGCGAATTGTGAGCGCACTGATTGAGCTCTAGGTGCGACCGTTCGAGAGATCGACTTTCTGCTGGCTTTCACAAACGGAGTGTTATTCAAGCTATAGCTAACGAAGGGAAGGGTGAATTTCTACCAGATGTATTTTGGTGTTGTTATCTGAGGTAGTCGTAAAAATGGAACACGACCACAGCGGAGGTTTACTGAGAAAAAGCAAAATCAGCATTAGAGGTGCTAACAACATTTATAGTGAGTGAAACATCTCGCGGTACCTTCAGAGTAGAGCAAGAAAGAGTAGGAGGCTAGCCAAGGGGTTAATTTTGTGAAAACAGAAGTACACAACGGAACGACAGGATTAGCGAAAGACAGAATGTGGCCACCTGAAAATGTTCGCCAAGCTTAGCCTAATAATATCTGCTACGACAGCAGATGTCAGGCACGTGTAACGCACGAAGGACATCCGAGGACAAGCCAACAGAAATATGGAACAGCATTGTCGTCTCTGGCCCTTCTCTTCGGCGCTGGTGCACACTCTGTATACCAGAGCGATCTGCCTGTCGTGGTAAGTGATTTTTGCGCAGCTCGCTGCAGGAACAAGCAAGTAGCGGCCATAGCGCCACAGTTCTTTTCAGCATTTGGTAATGTCCTTGCTTGCGTTGCACTTTCACGCAAACATCGCCACTGGTTGTCGCTGCTCGTCGAAAACAACCAGACCACTTCTAAAGTTGGTTCTCATCCGGTCAGCTGCGGTACTTCTTAAATGCCCGTTGATTCGTTGCGTCGTTCGGATGGGCGCTGGCGCACACTCGTTGCCCGAACAGTGCCACCACAACGCCCGCTACGACCGCCCTCCGTCCAGCAGCATGAAACCAGCTGCTGCTGTACACGCAGCGGCATAAATCGAGCATTTGAACAAGCTTGCGTCCAGTAATCACTCTTAACAAAACGAAGTAATGGTGCTTGGATTGCAATGATTACAACTTGCGACGTATGCGTATGCTGTGTGTTACGAATAGAGGCTTCGGCTGTGTCAACGGAGAAATAATCGCAAAACATAATGCGGTCGTCACAGAAAATCGAGACCAGCATTAGGCCGATTTACATGCACACCATAGTATAGTGTAAGGACGGTACCGATGTGAACTAGTGATTCAGGATCTGTCCGTCGGATAAGCTGACGAGTCGATTGGCAGTTGCATTAAATGCATTTGTGTCTTTTGTTTCAGCCTAAAAAGAAAAGCGTATGGCAAAGTGGCGCGTGACGCTTGTCGTAATCTCTTTCTGAGAGAGGTGTTGTTCAGCTTGCCGTCACTGGGGCAAGACGTGAAACTACTAGTAAGCCGGACTGCTGTTGCAGCCTCTGTGTGAGTCCTTCCGTAGGTGGTACAGTCGAAATGCTCCTTTCCATTACTTGATGTCGCCCGTCGCGGCTAATAGAGCCACAAAACGCGTCTCGCTTCGCTCCGCCGTCACGATAACAGGAAAACGCAACGACAACGGTAGTCTACGGCAGCAGTGTAGCGGACGAAGACAGGGTCACGGCGAAGGGTGGTGGGCCACCGCTTTGTGTCTGCTCGCATTCGATGTTCACCCGCAGACCGTGTTAAAACCACTGCTGGCGTTTACTCTGTGACTGAGTCGTTCTGTTTGCGCGTGTGTGTATCTATCTGTATAGGTGTTACGGTTAAGTCTTGTATCTTGTATGTGCCAGACAGCTGGCTATTGATGTCTGAAATAAATTGGCGACCATACGATTACTATCGTTGCCACCGTTATCACTCCTGTAAGGAAGGAAGTGAGCCTAATCGAAAAAGAAGGCATCAGGCCTGGGTAAGCGAGCCCCGAGAGAAGGCAGGCTGCTGCTGTTTGCCGTGTATCGGTCTATGTCCTCGACGTGAGAGATGTTTATAGTGGTGCTGATTGTGGAAAAGAGTGTAGTTTGAAGGTGGAAAAAAATTCGTGCGCGAACCGTTTGTCTCGGAAAAAAAACGGCAACGACGAAGAAAAGACTGTTGCTAAAAAGTCTGTGATTCTCATCAGGTGCTGTCTAGCGTACATAGTTGGTATAACTAGTGATTTCTTAGTGGCGGGTTCTTAATACAGGGTTCGCCAACTGCAGGGCCTGCACCGTAACTGTATATAGCAGCAAGGTCGCTCTGCCAATACTGTGCGGCGCGGCGGCAGCCCGAACGAAATACAAGAAGAAAAAAGCTTTTACGAGGAAGTACAACCTATTAATGAAAGAAGTACGCTAAAGAGTGTAGGTGAGATATTTTTTGTTTACTTCGGATCCATGCCCGTATGCAAGAAAGTTCCAGCAGTCTAAACAGCAAAAAGGCATAAGATACAAACAGGGCAAGAAATCAAAAATCTGTCAACGATATCAGTAACGATAACGCAAAAAGTGGAAATAGCAATACTCGCGGCCGAAAAGTGCATCGCCGCGCTGGTACCTTTACCAAACGACATTCGTCCGTCTACCCCCGTACCATCAAGCGTCGAAATCTGTGAATGAGTCTGCTTCAGGCGCGATATAGAGATCAAGAAAATTAACTGGATCGCTTGACTTTCATCTTCTGCTTTACAAGGATAAAACGACAGGATTCACGTCATCATGGAACAGGTAAGAGTTCGCATAGATAATAGAACCCATACAATACCCTGGCTGCAGCGGTCAGCGTGGCGGGCGATGATCGCAATGTCGAAAGAACAGCGAGTGAGATAAACCCATTATGTCCTTCTCATTCAGCCGACAATTACGATAGAATGACTAAGGAAGGGAGCAAGGTTACTTACTGTTCTGTTCGATCAAATGACGCCCGTGGTAATGAAACTGATGGCATAGATGGCGGATGCACCGTTCGAGCTAATTACACAAATCAGGAGCAATAAGTACAACGAGAACGCCGTAAACGTCGAATGTTTGCCACTGTTGTGTAGAGGATGCCAAATCAACCACTTCAAAGGTTCAAATATGTTGGAACGGCGAAAACTTTGGTGTTTGAGCTGGTATATACATATATATATATATATATATATATTTACAGAGCGAATAGATTATATATATGATTATATATATATATATAATCTATTCGCTCTGTAAATATATATATATATATATATAGAGCGAAATACGAAAATGTGAAGGAAAGACGCGCTTGAGAAAGGGAATTGAATTTCAACAGACGAAACTTATTGTTTACGATAAAGTCTAAGTGTGACAGCCTCGTGCGGTAGATCATATCATATGAAAATCGTTTTAGAAAAACAGTGCATCGTGAACCCCGACTGATTGATCTAACACAGTTAATTACGTATTAGATGCATTGGATCAATGATACTTGTGGTATGACTCATAGCAGTGCATGATGAACCCGCTTCCGTTACCTTAAAAACGGGTGTTCTGAAATTTTGTCAACTAAAAATCCCGCAATTCGCTCTTTTGTGTGCCTAGGTGTATTGTGTGTGTGAACTTGAAATTTTCCAATTATTGTTTGAACTATTGTTCTGCAATAACCGTTTAAAAAGTCAAATAAAACAATGTTTGTAGTTCTGTAGTGGTTTTCGTGTTACGAAGAGAACACAGTTTTATAAATCAGTAGTATTTTTTTCAGGTGATCGTTTTAAGTCATGAAGTACTGCTCAAAGAGAAGAAAAACCGTTGACAAAATGATACCTTGCCCCGTAAACTATTTTACCTATTGTCTTTTTTGTTTACATATTTCGTCCACCAGCTGAGAGCCCAGTTGAAGAGAGGAGCACTGTCCCTGATTTTGGAGTCTCAATGCGAGGTATATGGTATTTTCATTTCGACCAAAGACGTCAACACCTGCCTTAAACTGACTGAAATATAGTCTACTATCAAAAATTGGCTTTTTTCACACTTGCTTTCTTTAATCGAACACTCGAATCGAGAAACAGTGATATATCCCGCTAAAAAGAAAATCTGTCCGGTTTCTCTCAGAGAGCTTCTTCTTATGTGCCTGAAAGACCACTACTTACGCGCTCACTAATAACGTTATCATTCATGGCACAACGTTAAGAGGTTAACACCGTTCATATATCGTCATTATTGGTCATTACACTAACTCACCGACTTGCTTGTATTTTGACGCACTTAGCTCATATTTTACAAGCACAGAAATCGTAAACGTTAATTTAATACGTGACGATTCGTTGACGTTCAGCGGCAACAATATGCCGATCGTTAGGAGAGGCCGTTAACAAAAGATTTTTTCCACTGTATTTGATAGACGTTTGTTATTTTTATTTTATGCTGTCATTGATACTGCCTCACTAATGGTACAATATTATAAAAAGCGGTGAGCGTTTCCTACCCCCTAAAGTGACGTAGCTGACAACTGTTTCGTGGTTCTTTCACCTTCCTATGCGTGCGGTATTTGACCGCTTCGAAGGATATCGGTTCCATTTATTGTGGGTAAATGACAATGCCCTCTGCTGTCATACTCTGTATGGTTAAAAAAATACAATGCATCCTTGAAGTTTTTCCGATTTCCCAATGCAATTATGGAGTTTCTTTTTCTCGCCCTTTCGCAAAAAGAGCGTATGTTTTTGAGTTTACCGGTTTAAGTTTTATTTATTTTTTTGTTTTGTGAATATACCGCTTTGCGCTAGATGTGTGAAGTGACAGATGAAAGGCGTACGTCAGATTTGCAATATCCAGGGGTGACTTAAATTGCAACAGCGTTCAACTTCGAAAACAACAATAGCAGTTACCTACGATGCCGACCAGAATGTACATATATGGTAGCATCCTACGAAAGTCGCCAACGTCATTCACCGAAAAGGCCGTTCTCTGTTTCAAAAAGAACTTGTGTTCGTCTTCGTCTGTATGCCTGACCTTCTCAATATGTGCATATACTAAATGGCGTAATATGATTTGTAACAAGGTGCACTAAGAACAAAAAATTGTCCCTAGATTGATGTCGAATACGTTATTCGTTACTCAGTACGATGTCGCTAATATGTTATTTGACTTCACAAAGATTCTTATCAATAAACGATAAAATAATTAACACTTGGTAAACTGTCTTTGGTTTAAGTTCATCAATACAGCACACGTTGACTGACCTGATCTTATTTGATATGCATTATTGATTTAATAAGGAGTACGCTGTACCACTCTGCATAGTACAAATAGCCAAACAAAACAAAATGGTCAGTTTATCATCAGCTGTGCCAATGAATCGGCGAACCAAGAGGACTAACTCTTAGCCACATCATTCTAACGTAAAGCTCTAATTCTGTACGTTTCATTTTTCATACCCTTAACTTTACCAAACAAGTCACTGTTAGCGCCGGTTAAAAACAAAGGAGTAGTAATTAATGTTATACTTGCTATATTTTTTTGTTAAAACAACTTATTGTAAAAGCTCTTGCAGGAAAACTATTCGTTCCCACCGCCGCGCAAAGATAACACCACGGCAGTGAATATATACCTCCCTCGTGATTAGATGATAGATCGATGCCGCGGTAAGATACGGCTCGTCTACAGGATTTTGTACGCAGTATGATGATAAGATTGTGATTACACTGAATGCCGCCGAGGAGTTAGAAACGAAAAGGGTTGCTGGCTGGAAGCTCTGTGGGTAGCACCAACATTTTGCTGTCATGCCGCAAGCTGAACTAAGCAATAGCTGTTTCATTGTTGGCGGCAAGAATCATCACGCTTAAAAGTTGAATGGCGGATAGGCATCGCTTGTGTTTGTTAAATTTCTACGTGCTGGACACGTGATGACGTCATTGAGGACGCACTATGAAGGGACAAGTAGTTTGCGAAGACGACGAATAGCTTAGTAAAAGAAAACAAAGCTTATTATACAGAGGAATGGTTTTCTGTGCGCCAGTATTATAAAGAGGGATTTAGTTTCGATATTTGTATGAATGCCTGAAATTCCAAGGGGCGATGATAACGAACTGTTCACGAATCGAAATATAATAATAATAATGTGTATATTATTCTGAGAAATATTTTAATAAGCTTCAAGAAAAGTAAATTAGACTGTCATCAAAAGCAATTATATTAAAAAAACGAAATACAGCTTGGGCAGAAATATGTATGGTAGCTGGGAGTGCTGATGGTCGACTTCCTATACAATAGTTAGGCAGTTTTAGTATATGTCTGATCTTTATTCGTCCTTTTCTAATGAAGTCGCTCACTATAAAATTTATATATATAAAAAAAAAAATATATATATATATATATATATATATTTTGGGTGATTGTAGCTGCCTGAGGTCGGTGCCTCTTAAACGAGTTGCGCTGAGCTTCATCCAAAAAAAGATTGTTTTTTAAGAAAAAGATGTCGCTTCCCGGAGAGATGCAGAAGGAAAGCATAATTGTGAGATAATTACTTACAAGCGCAGGCCTTTCTTATGTGTAGGAATAGACCACATACATAGAAATATAGAAATAGAGTTCGACTCTTACTTGAAGTCTGTACCTTCGCGGTGCCGGACGCAACCTATGAAATGTTAGACATCGAGTGACAATTGAAAGACCATCTGTTGATAAAACAAACACTATGAAATTGTAAATCTCAGAACTAACCAGAACACATTGAGTGACTGTATATATATTCCAATCATTTTTGCATACGTTCTAGAATTTTATTGCACTTTTTTGTTATTTGGCCAAAAGATTTTCAGATAAAGCCGGATAATTCTGAACTTCCGCATCGGACTTAAAAAACTTTCTTATGTTGCATAAGTAACAAATCCTCCGTCGAGATACAGTTTACGGTTTTTCGAAGTTAATAGTTTACTTTGACACTTGGTTTAATCCTGTATAAATACCCGAATAAAACACATCATCGATTTCCACGCAAATTATTTCCCGCCGCTCGCGCTGAACGTCTCTATTGCATTCGATAGTCCGCGACGGACAGATGTTTCAATGCATGTCATCACATAGCACAACATCACAAATATATATACTTATAAGCATCAAGTAGACGTTTATTAAACAGTGATGTGCAGATCTATAGCGTGGTATGCGCGTGATGTAGCACGTCTCGAGAGAAAACGCTTTGTAATATTCAACGCGAAGGAATGCTTCGCTGAGTGGTCTCTTTTAGCTTATTTGTCAACGGAGAGAGGGCGGGCTAAATAGAATACACATCAAACTCAACTGATTTTTGAGACCTTTACCAAAATTATTGCCCGTAACCAGGTTTGCTTTTTCAAATGAAAATAGCAAACTGTGATTTATAGAAAAAGGAATATTATTAAGAAGAACCGGTAACGTCGAATCGCCGCTGACACGGAAGCTTGTGATAGTGTGCTGCAGTAAAAAATTGAAAACAAGGATGTTTTCAGGGCAGGTAGGCCAATGAGCCAGGATGACACATTCATAGAGTACAGGTCGTAGCTAGCGTTAGAATTACAGTAAATTCAGGGCACTTGATCAAGCATAAGCGTCCAAGAGTCCGCTGTACGTTGCATGATCTACTCAACGACTTGATGGCAAAATGACTGAATGATGAAACGGCGACGTCTTTCAATTTTTTGCTCTAGAACAGCCGAGATATCAATATACGACTCCATAATATTGGAGTCGCACTTTGTTACACCTTTGTTGCACTGTTATTACATTTGTTCGTTGTATTATTAACATACGAGCCTAAAAGCAACTGCCTGAAATGAGCATGGAGGGTACTCGGAACTAAGTTTACCATGTAATATAGTCATGTGAAAAAATGTCTTAATACACATAGTTTTCTTACTGTATTTCGTCTCAGTTAACTAACGGTACCATAACCTTTTTTTGTGATGAACTATACTTCCTATATAACCTTCCTATATAACAACGAAAATTACCAGTATTTTGTGTGCCTTTATTTCTTTTTTTTTTTTTTAAATGACAGATAGCACAGCGTGTTCATGTTTGCGTAGTCACTGAACTCGTATGAAAGCTTTACGTTGTTTCTGTAAACTTTTTACGCCAATTACAGGCCCAGTATATTCGACGAGCGGACAGTAACCGACTGAGGGATATTTTTAATAAGGTATGTAGCGTCCACGCGTTGCACTAAGTGAGTCAGATAAGTTTAGTTCATATATGTATATTTCGAATGTTGGCGCGGAGTCTCAATTCTATATACCAAGTGCGTTTTTGCAGTATTAGTTTATTCGTAAATACAAATGTCAAGTTGTCTACGCGGCTTCTATCTATTAAACGGGCAATGACGTATCAATAAATCAAATAGAACAAATAACCGCATCCTTGTTTACCATTACCATAGAATACAACGAAGACATATATATGTACTCGCATTTGACTTCCGATTGTTCCCGTTTGATGGTAAGCTACCGAAGGGATTCACAGCTGTAGTCAGCAGCCGCAATGAATCGTGAAAATGTTTTGACCTTTTCACATCTGTAGATCACGCGGAAGCAACAATATTATTGCTAACATTAACCTAAATAAATATAGGCCTGACGTAATCTTTTCTGCCCACATCTGCTCTATATAGGCTCACCTCTTTTGACGCGCTGGCTTCTTACTGGTATAAAATGACGTTCGTGAGAGAAATAAGCTTACACAAGAAAATGCAAGGTGTAAATAACAAATATAGCCACTGAGTCTGTACGTAGTGATTATAAGTATCGACTAATGTAACAGATCCTATTAAACATTAGGTGTTCACTTAAAGGTCGTCGATGACAATAACACGAGGGAGCTTGGACATCAAACTCAGCCAGTTCAACTCCCACAACCAAACGTTCCGGCAACCGGGTCAGCTTCAAAAAAAATGAGTCAAGGTGAAATTGCTGCAAGTACCGCCGATGAAAAAGGCAGCACCGAGGCGAACAGTAGTATAGGACATTATGCATAACCGCAATAAGGACGATCACGGAAGTTTGCAGCAATGCTGGACCTCGAGGAAACAAAGATTGCACAGTAAATTAAGAGAGGACTAAAACTCCGACGCCGCTATCCCCCGAAAATTTGAACAGCATAGATATTTTCGGTCTAACGAAACTTGGACAACTATCCCTTTGAGATAACCATGTTTCCATTCTGTCTACTGAAGAATAACGGACCAGGCCGTTCTCTTCTCTACAGTTATATGATAGGCGACCTCAGGCCGTACCTAGCGGAAAATAATGTCATTGCCTTACGTAGTTGGAGCTTAAATCTCTCATAACAGTCTAGGTTCGGCCGAATAATTCGAAATCAACGTATGTATCGTTGGAGGAACTCGCCATTCTGCCTCAAACTCGTCTCAAACCGAGCTCGAGTTCCTACAACTCTTCAAGATACGTGCGCGTATTGCGGTCCTACCTTGACATTGGTCTTCCTAAAACATGCAAGAAGTTCGGTTATCAATATATTTATGCCGAATACAACCAGCAATAGTATTTCAAATAAGTTTCAGCACATCCAATTAAAATTTTTGAATCTACAGTACAGGTTCTCTGTCCTTCACGGAAACACAGGTCATACCTCAACCACATTTGCACCCTTGCCTGAGGGCTAAGATGCTTCTAAACCCTACCCTTTGGTCTCTGCGTGAATAAATCTGTCGAAAAACGTATCCTTCACAAAGATAGCAATATTTTAAAAGCTGGAAACCCGTTTGCTTGCCGATGCGGAACGACCATAGCAGCTCGGCAATATGCTCTGTGGTTCTTGGCCCGTATAAATAACTCCTCAAGTTATTTAGTTTTCACGAGCGATACCTTTTTCGTTGTAGCATGTATAGAGGGGATCTCAATCCTAAAAGAAAATTAAAATTTCAGAGTCGAGGAATTAATGCAAAATCTCGAGAGCCTACACAGGTGGAAAGATGTCGGTACAGAGAATGTATGCAATGAGCATCTCATGTGCGCCGACGTGTTGGCATTGTGCTGGATGGCACTATTTAACAACCTAATTCTATTCTTATTCTTCACCTTGCTGAAGGGCTTCCCTGATCAAATAAAAAGGCCGAGGAAATTAGCGCAATTATCTTGTATGCAAACGAAATAGTGATATAGGAGTCAAACAGGTCCAAGTGCGGCAAGCCTTAGCACGGCTCCATGCGACAGTCACGCACTTGAGATTGACCGTAAGCCTGAACAGTGTGGAGTAATGAAGGGCAGGAGAGTGGCTATTGACGCCTTGCATCTCACCGAGTTTCATCTTCCCTATGCTACCAGTTTCTGTCATGGGGGTTGCTCTTCTCCGCAAACGGCAAAAGTTTCATTGTGCCCGTCATCGAAAGTTGCAGGAATTCAATATTGGCTGCAGGACAATCAAACCGCCTCATCACTCGCCCCTCGCAACCGCTTTTAGCTTATTTTGTACCAAAGTAGTTTCCATCAATTAAAAGGATCTGACGGTGAAGAACCTCGACAATCGGATCCTGTCAAAGCCTCCTTCCTGAAAGAAGTGTTAACACTACATATAGCGATCCGAACTTACCTCGCATATCTCGTAGTCCATTTGTCACTGCCATCCAAGGATCTACGTCGTCGCTTTGAGGCTCCAGCAACCAAAGCCCTGAAGGCCAGCCTTTAAAACTGGGAGTAAAAATTTGTAAAGATCGATATGGATTCCCTTGTTTTTGGGATGCGATAAGCAACAACGAGTGGGAAGGGACGAACCGATTAAAGAGGCATGTCGTCAGTTCCACCACAGATTCTGGAGAAAACCGGGTTTCTACGAACATGACGATACATGTAGGTGCTCCAGACGCGGGGGGAATTGTGATAGTTATGAGGCCACTCGTTGCGTTCTGGTGCCACCTTTAGAAAATCGCTTAAATTGGGTTTATAAACTTAACCAGATTTATACAGCATTTAGGACGTAGTGTTTTAAACTGTTATATATAGTAATTCTATTATTGGGAATATTGTGTTATTAACAATTAGCAAAGATTAAACATTAGTGTTTGTTTTCCTATTAATTGTTGCGCACAATTTAGATGTTTAGATTTACAATTTAGATAGATAGAGGGATGTGACTATTTTGTTAAAGCGAAACTGTTCTGCTGTGTAGTAGGCAATATTGTATGAGTTCTGTGTGTACACTAATGTACTCGATGATTATAAACACGTTTTTTGCTTGCATGATACCCGTGCAGTATGCCTCTGTAGAACAGAAAGGTGAGCGATATATGACAGCAAATGACTTCGTAGTGCGATATCTGGGATTTCTACCTGAATCGAACGCAAATCCGAAGAGTCTTACCTTACTGGGGAACATTCTCGACACTTCGAAAGATGGCCTCATCTCATTCCGTGAGTTTGAGGCGTACGAAGGACTGTTATGTCACCCTGAAGCAATATACAGGTTAGTATTGGTCAATATATTTGTGCATGTATGTGAAAGGTATATGAAAGTACGCAAGTACGTTAATGTACCTTGGCAGTTTGCAGGCTACTCTTCTTATCATCGTTCTACGAATATATAAGTCTTGCATTCTATCTGGTAACGGCCATAACGAATGAAAATGCCATGTATGCAAGTGGATTAATTACATAAATCATTTAATATTTTAGGACGGCGTTCCAGCTATTCGACACGGACGGTTCGGGCCATATTACTGAAAATGAGTTCGAACAGGTCATTAAGCATACCACTCTACACGAAAAAATCCCATTTGATTTCAGTTCCGATTTTGTCGTACTTCACTTTGGCGGGGACCGTAAAAGGACAGTAACATACGCTGAATTTTCGCAGGTTCTCCAGGTAAGTTATACCTGGCTAAATTTATAAAACTTAGAACTAGTCGTTAGTGTGTATTGAATCTAGACAACTCGATTTGCGGGAAGGATGTTGCGTAATCTCTGAGGTACACTGGTCAGGCAACTATATATCTAAACATACTAAGGTCAGAATGTTTCCTATTATATGTTTAATTATTGTGTGTTATTAATGAGGATCTGAAATTCATTCATAGAACTTTAGCTTCATAGCATTCATAGAACGTTAGCTTCTCATGTACTCCTCAGACCCGTATCCCACATTTATCGCACTTGCAATATTAGTTGGTTTCTTTAAAAATCGTAGTTCTAGTTACTCTCGTAGCAGCGGACGTTACTGCATAAAAATCCCTGAGATCGACTATTTGCAATTTGTGTTGTGTATTAACTTTAATGCGTTTCGTTGGTAGGATTTTCACGAAGAACACGCCGTGCAAGCGTTCAAAAAATATGACCCAAAAAAGACTGGTGCCATCACTTCGATGGACTTTACTGACATTATGCTTAGTTGCAAGTCTCATCTACTTTCTGAAAATGTCAAGAAAAACCTGGTTGCAGTTGCCGCTTCCGAACATGGAGGCCATAAGGTGAGCTTACATTTTCATTGATTTTAGCCGATTCGCCATTAAGTCGGACTCTACGACAATGCATTGAATGGTACTTCAGTCTCCGCCTATTACCGCGTGCATTTCACCTTTCAGCTTGCATTAATAATATTTCAAATTGATACGCTTTATTGACCATAAACCATAGTATCGTAGGCAACTACCTTCACAGGTTTTGGCTTGATGCTAGATCTGCAGAGATGCTTATGATTGTAACGTGCTTCTCTATGCGTTTTCTTTATCTTTTGCGTGCAGGTGTCATTCCCTTACTTTATGGCCTTCTGCTCATTACTGAATAATATGGAGCTTGTAAAGAAAATTTACCTGCATTTTACTAAGGGTGACACTCGTACTGAGATGACAAGGGAGGAGTTTGCCGCCACATCTGCTCAAATGTCTCATATGACCCCGCTTGAAATTGATATCCTGTTCAACCTTTGTAGCTTCCTAAGCAACAGCAGTGGGCGAATCACTTATAGCGATCTGGAAAAGGTCGCCCCGTACAGACCAACGCGGGCGGTTCTACTCCGACCGATTGCAGAGGTCAAGGCTGTGGAGGTATGTTAAGTAGCTACAGAGGTTTAGGCAAATTTCACTTACATTTTTATTTTCATTTCCTCTCGAGCGAGTTGCGTGCACTGAATGGCTGTAGGAATGATTTAATTTCAGAAAGTCTCTGAATTTTACACAATGTTTTTCTTCAAATGTTTGCTGCTCTTCGGACTGTTCTCTTGTCTGTTTCCGTGGAAATTTTGCATCACCGATAGAAACCGGAGGACCGCGGCATCGGAATCCAAGTTTTAGAGAGCACATATCGCTTCTTGTTGGGTTCGATCGCCGGTGCGTGCGGAGCCACTGTGGTGTATCCAATCGACCTGGTCAAAACACGAATGCAGAACCAGAGAACCGGCTCAATTGTCGGTCAGTACTATACGGTTGTATCAAAACTAATCAACTAACAAAATAGTTATATAATAATAATCATAGTATTTTCGTTGTTTCATTGAGGGTCAAGGTCGAATGTTATTTTAGGGTAAATACATAACTCTTTACAGATGCGCCGTTTTTACGTCAAACAAACCCTCGCCGACTTTGAATATGAGCTACATATTCCAATTAAATTGTATAATTGTGCACTTACCTTTTAGGTGAAATTATGTACAGAAATAGTTTGGACTGTGCTAAGAAGGTACTTCGGCACGAAGGTCTTTTTGGCTTCTACCGCGGCCTGCTTCCTCAGCTCGTCGGAGTTGCACCCGAAAAAGCCATTAAACTTACGGTAAGATAGCATTTATATTGAGTATTGGCTGGCCAAAAATATCAGAAAATGGATATTTAGGCCATGTGGTTTTTGTATAAGTAGATCTATACCTACGTTGGCTTGGAACCGTAGCGCAGAAGGACTAATCAGCCGTTTTGTCTTAAATAGCCTAGGGTCGACTCACACCAATCAGAGTCTGTAGGCGGTTTCCGGATACACTGAAATGAATGATCGATTATCGAACTTTATTTTAGAGAAGCTGAATAATTTTACAGTTAAATGTATATTAATAATTTTTGTCATGAACTAACGAAGACTGTTCATTTTCTATATGCTCTATCTTATTCAACTTATCCAGATGAACGACTTAGTTCGAGACAAATTTACAGACGAAAAAGGCAACATTCCGTTCTGGGCAGAAATTCTCGCTGGAGCTATGGTAGGTTTGCTTATCTACATGGGGTCCGTAAGACATTAAGGTCTACTCTGATCCATTATACACTATGTAATAGTTTATCATCACACCTCCTGTCCCCGCAGCCTGTATATGTGGAAATGTAAAGAATAAGATTCACATAGCACAGTAAATGTCATGATGTTGTGAATTGAGTTACTATTTAAAATATAACACAGAGAAACACTTCTGCGTTTATAGAATAGGCGCAGGGTTGGAGACGTTTCAGTAGCGCGCTTCTATCTATCAATGCCATCTTAATCACCTTTTGACCCGCTGCTGTGATTTCAGGCTGGCGGATCACAGGTGATGTTCACAAATCCATTAGAGATCGTTAAGATCCGTTTGCAGGTGGCGGGTGAAATAGCCGGTGGTCACAAAGTGTCAGCACTTGGGGTTATCCGGGACTTGGGTCTTACCGGTTTATACAAGGGTTCGCGTGCCTGCTTTCTTCGGGACGTTCCATTCTCTGCAATTTATTTCCCAGTATACGCCCATATGAAGCTCAAAACTCAGGACGATGAAGGCCGCAACTCGCCTTTAAGTCTTCTGGGATCGGCCTTTATTGCAGGTTAACCTTACATTATTTAATCGTAATTACAGACAAACAGCCAGGAAAACGGTTGGAAATTGCAGCTTTGAATTAAAGTGCTTACAAAAACTTTATGAAAAGAATAAATTAGCCAGCAGTTCTGTTAGCCTGTTAGTCGCAATACATTGTTGTCATAATCAGTATGATTGCTCCTTGAACAAATTTGTGCTGATCTAATCAAAGTTGATCTAATCAAAGTGAACCGATGAAGATAACTGCAATGCTTCGTTTATGGCCTTTTCAAGGAAGAAGAATTACTATCATTCATGTGGTTTTTCTTGCGAAGATTAACGCTCCTACTACTGCTACTCATCACCGACATACTACGATTTATAAATTAAAATGCTATACATATAGAATAGACCCTATACACGTAGAATAAGGTAAAAGTATAGTCTCTTCGAAAGACTTTCGCTTTATATAGTATATGATATATCGGTATATCGGGTCCGATTGTTTTCCTATGTCTCGACCTGTTGCTAGATTCCAGTTCTGTTTCCTATTACAGGTGTTCCTGCAGCCTATCTAGTGACTCCAGCTGATGTAATCAAAACTCGCCTCCAGGTGGCAGCTCGAGCTGGACAAACAACTTATTCTGGCGTAATAGACGCATGCGGCAAGATTTTTAAGGAGGAAGGATTCAGCGCTTTCTGGAAGGGCGGCCCTGCTCGAGTGTTCCGTTCTTCGCCGCAATTTGGCTTTACTCTGCTAACCTATGAAGTTCTACAACGGCTTTTCTATGTCGATTTTGGCGGCCGTCGGCCCACTGGTTCCGAGACCTCGCCCGCTCCGATGGAGAAACTCATGTCACACAACCCCGACCATATTGGAGGCTATAAAATGGGTCTCGCTACTTTCAGGGGGGTCGAAACAAAGTTTGGCTTGTTTCTGCCAAAATTCGGTTAAGCGGTTAGTTGTCCCGAGTGTAATTATTATAATAAACAAGTCTAGATTGCCGGCTGCTGATGAGGCCTGCCACAACTAAATTGAATAGCAATACCGCCAACTAAGTTTTTTTTTGGAAGGGCTCAATGTACCATCGTCGCAAGAAGGCACAGATTGACTAGGAACAAACTTATGAATTGTCACAGTCTATCGTCGAAAAAAGCGTCGGAAAGCCACCTCGGAGACACCTTTCTATCTTCAAGATAGTCAAGCACTGTACGGAAATGTTGTTCGTCTATTCTTTGTTTTGTAACGACTGCATGAGTGAAAAATCCCGGATTTTAACAGTGCGCTGTTTCCATGCCAGTTACAACAATATCTGATTTTGTGAGGGTGGACTGCAGTACGTGTACTCCATTGCGTATACACAATTCAACCTCGGTGTCGTTCCACACAGACTCGTGAACCTACTACCTCTCTAATGAGACAAATAATTGATTATATTATTGTTTGCAGGCATGATATGGTTTGAGACAGGTTTGAGGCGTTCAACGAGCTTCTCCTAATATCCTCTTCATTTGTAGTACAGCGAACCTTCCCCAAGCGATATTCCCCATGCCTATTCTTCGAATAAGATACTGTTTGCAATGCGAATATACGCTGATTGTTACAACAGGTAGCTCTCGCCAAAAACAATTATAGCATTCAGCTTTCCTTTCATCCATCGCATTACTTCTTGTACCTTCACAACCGGGTCACGTTGTCACGAGGCCACCTTACGCAGTGGTGGCTCCAATTTGTGAGGACATTGATACAAGAAAACCATGTTGCTTGTTGTTACGGAAGTGTAGAGAAGAAATGTTGCACCGAAAAGATTTTATATGAACCCATTTACACCGATTATATATATATATATATATATATATATATATATTACTTGTATCAACCAGTAAATAACCGGTTTCAACATGCGTTTGAGTTGAAACCGGTTATTTACTGGTTGATACAAGTACCCGAGATGACGAGACTGACGTAAAAGAAGTTCACCATAGACATGTTTTTACATTACTACGGTACGTTATGAATATACTTCCCTCAGGTATAGCCTTCTCGTTACTTGGTAGAATTACTAGTATGAATGAATTTTCTTACATTCTCATACATGTATCTGAGGTTTATATGTGGAAAAGGAGGCAGTAACAATGGCAAATGACTAACGATAAACTGTGCAGTTTCAGAAAAAAGTTGAAAACCATAGCTTTTTTGAGCGGCGGAATAAATTCGTTTCTGCGGGTGCTTCTTATATCTGTATATCGACAGGGGGGATTGCTGGGGGTGCTGTACCAGGAATGCTATAATTACTGCTTTAGAAACAAGTGTATGTCATTTGGAAGCGTTTTTGCACTGGTTCCTGGTATCAAGGAACCGTGAACTTTGTGTGTCGTATACTTCCGATGTGACGATATGGGATTAACTTCTAGAAAATTGATTGCTTTTTTTTAATGAATGATCGTTCACCATTGAACGCGATTAAGAAGTACGCAACATATTTGTACCGGGCGACTCACTATAAATAAAATGAACGAGGTTTCGTATATACCTCTCATTCAAACGGATCATCCATTATACAAACAAGGTGTTAGTCGTTGCCACTTTGTTTCGAGTCATGCGTTGTAGGTGTACTCGGTGCCATCTAATCTGTCTCGACTCTCACAATCTTTTCAATGATACAAGAATCAAATGACCGATGAGTGAACTAGAAAGTTTGATATGAGTGTAATGTAGACATTTTTAGGAAATTGACAAGTTTGGAGTTACTGGGTTGTCTTTGCCATGGCAACAGACATACATTTGTCTCGATAAAGCCGCGGAACCTTGACACAACGGCGATTGTGGCAATGGGACGTCCCGTTAGCGCTCTGGACAAATGAATAGCTCGACTCGAATAATACAATCCTCCGTTTCACACAACTGCCCCATTTTCACACATGGCATGGTAGGCATTCAGTACGCCTAACTATAAAAAAAAAGCACCGAGTCACCGTTATGCAAAACACGGTAGTGACGACAGAAGATGAGACTGGCTGTATGTTTGAATACAGTTGATATACTTGTACTTTATATATAGAGATAGACGATACATAATACTGCCTATGTCAAATGAAAAATTCACGAAGACAACAAAAGAGAGATCGATAGTTATGAAGAGCGTTATTATTGTTATACGGATTAATTAAAGTGCATGCGGCAAACGAACGAACCATATTAATAGTTGCGAACTTTACGGCGAAATATGGAGCTGGTCGAACGCTTCCCCCACCTCCTTCAATCTAGAAGGAATTACGATGGCGTTCAAAACAAACGTACAGAATTATTATTAGAAATTACAAAATGTAGACATTGTATTACGATTAATATACGATACCATAATATAAAAACAAAATAGACTAAAGTGAGTTTTAAAAAAAATATTTATATATATATACATATAGAAAAGCTGTCTTAATAAATTTATGTTCGTTATACTGGCGTCTGGTCTGACCAGAGTGACGCGCAGTGTTATATTGCGGTGTGGTGGAAGTAGAAAGAGAGATTAAAGTTAATAACTATGTCGCAAAACTATGACTCTGACGGCAAAAATGTTCTTAGGTAGATAACCACGTGTGGTAATTAATGAATTAGATGCAAATGGTGGTAACGCTATAAGCTGGCACGAAAGTTGTTCAACAGGCGAACCTGAGCCTGAGATCACCGGCACTGCAATGCAATACCAATTTTTTTTTATCTAACTATTAGATATATACACAGGATAGGATAGAAAGAGATTAAGGAGGAATGACAGCTGTTATATGCAAACATCGACGGGTAACGCGTTCTGTACTACTAATGGCGTACTGTGTATAACAGAAGACAATATTGGTACTTGGATTATTCGAAGCAGCTCAGCAGTACGAGAGATAAAGTTGAAACCATGCCTGAAAAATAGTTCCTTGAAGGAATACACGATATCCGTTAATGAAACTGAACGCTCGCTGTAAGTGATACAAAAATGCGCCGTCGCAGATCGAACGCTTACAGGCGAACGCTTATGGACTGTCACCAATTTTCCAATTAGGGAACGACAGTACATTAATAAGCCGAAATTTGTTCATATCTGGATACCGCATTTTCGTGGAGCGACTCTTACGAATGTGATTATTAAACGGATATTAAATTTACAATTTGAAGCAGTTTAATCACAATTTCTTGTAACATCATAAAGGCAATAGCTCCCGCCATGGCTATTTTCCTCAATTGACATACCTTTATATGATCTTTATGATACTAGTTCTTGACCTTGAAATATGTCGGTAATTTATTCTATACGCACTTTTTTGCACCAAACAAAATGTGGTCCTTCAACTGAAAGGGGACGATTTTCAGGCTGACACCAATGGCAGTTTGCACTTTTTACTAGAATATTTTGCAGAAGAATAATATTTTAGGGCAAAAAAAAACGCCCCTTACGGTGATGCATCGAAGTTATCGAACATAATTACTTACGGCCTTAGCTAGTTGGGCTGATTATGATCAATGCTCTAATGAATTATTTCTATTAAATTGTATCTTAGAATCTTCAAACGTAATCAATTGTTCCAGGATAAACTTAGCTCTCAGACTATCTGATGGTATATTTCATGATAATCTAATCAAATTAGTATCAGTTATTTGTAATTGAACAAAAACTCAACGGACTATTACATCTTTCTTAGCTGGTCTATCCGCTTTAGATCGTAAATATATTTACAACAATAATTGTTATTATGAAATATAAAAAAAAAATCTTAAGCTAGGTAAAATATGTATAAACTGCTCAAAGTCCCAGACAGTTGCAGGAGAACATCAAGATCTGCTAAAAATAGGACTGTTTTCTCGATGCGCCTAAATCTATTCGAATTTATTTAAGTGGAAGCGCCAACTGACGCTCCATATCAGTGCCACACGGTAACATTTGTCATGTATTTTAATGGTGTTTACGACTTTAATCCAGCGTTGCCGAACGTTATAGCAGGGCTATTTACAGGCGACCCCCAAATGGAAACTGAACTTAAACGAAAGTGACACGAATTAAAGATTTGCGCTGCCGAGTCGTATTGGTAAAAGAAACCCGGGCTAATTCCTAAGCGTATTTCTTGATAATATATTACACGTTGATAAAACAACATTTGGATACACTATTTATTCACCGGCTCTTCCGCTAAATTAATTTGCTGCAATGTCAGTAGGCAAGGAACATGTAAAAACTTTGGCTTGATCGGATTAAAGGAATAGGTTCGAAGAGGTAGGGCTTCTTCTTGGGAATGTTTCAGATAAGAAATATTTGACATTCGGTGCCTGTTCATGTATCGCGGGCATCTCATTTAAACGATACCTAGTGTAGGACGGAGGGGGTAGACTGTATAAAATGGAAACGAAGAGGAACCCGAATCTGGTAAACCGAAATTAATTGAAAAATTTCACGAATCTTCTACTACGAGTAAATATTGTTGCATTTAAATCTGTAAGGAAAGTTGATCTAAACCTTTTTCCGTTTCCTAGAAGTTGCAATTAATATTTGAATATCACATGAGTATAATTTGAAGGGTCCGCATCGTTCCATCCGATTCAGTTACCATTTGGGTTATGGTTTAGGTTAGTTTTCGTAAGTTAAAAAGCTGACTCAGTTCTGCGATAGCAGCATCCAGACAGTTGTACAATTAGAAATTCTCCGCCCATAGCTGTATCACAATTATCAGCTTATCTTATTAATTAACCTCACCCGATTTACCGTATCCGATTCTTTGTTAAACTGTGTCGTGTAGTATTGTTAGACAAAGAATTCGCTAAAAACAATCAGGCAGGCCAAAAAACGGTCTTCTCAACTATTCCGCCCGTATGCCGTAGTACTCGACATAACAAATTAAATTCAATATATAATTTTTTCCATGTATTTCTTAGAAAATTGCTAACCCGCTGCGTATCTTTATTGGAGTAATCTGAAATATATAAAAAAGTGAAAAATCGGCCGATTACGGAATGTCATTCAGTTTCTAGTATCAATTAAGCGAGCAGTTAGTTTGACTGGAGGAATATCATTGATCCTTTTTTATCAGCCCGTAGTCCTGTTTATAAAGGTCGATACTAGGCTGCTAGATGTGAATAAGAAACTTGAAATGGCAACAATAACTTCCACTTTTTATATGCAAGGCAAATCGACGACGCAAAAAACATTCTAAAGAATGGAGTTTTTTGCAGCAGGGTAATATTATAATTCCTTTTGGCTCGACTGACATTGTGTAAGAAGCATTTAAACTCGTACTGGCTGACGATATCGAATCCTGACAGATCGGGTTCCTGATCTAGTGACTTCTTATATGTAGGAAAATGTAGTGGAAACAGTTGCAAGACTCACGCATCACTTTCGCCTTCGGAGTTTGCGGTGGTCTATTCTGTTCAGGCTTACTAATAACTGACGATATGGAGAGATGACAGAATTTATTGTTATAATACGTGAATAAACAGGGCCGTTTTGATATAGCTAAAAAAACAGTGATAGAAGCCGTTTCATGACGGTGCATGAAACCATTAACTGACTTAAGAACCGCTCGGTCCATCGTTCATTCATGTTCAAGCTACGGAAAAAGAACTGTCTCAGTTAAACAGCTTTCGGTAGGCAGATTTTCGTACTCGGTGTGAAGGTGTCATCATACAATGTAGGTTCATAGACAACACACAAAAAAGACACCGTACGATCATCAAAAACAAATACCCTAGCTATGCAAAATGAAAACGAACAAATTTCTAGCCAATACAAACTAAGTTTGCTAGGCTTTTTCATTTCACAACATAATAACACTGCTTAAGCGCCTTATTTGGTAATACCGTGCACGTAGCAAGTACTGAATG